GAGTCTTTGGTAACTGACTGCTCGTCTCCATCCAGAGGGAATTCTGTTACTCCAGAAAATGAATTTTCTGTTTCCCTCTGTTCAAAGGCTAGGTCAAAACTGCAGCAGGACAAGAAAATTGCAAAGTCACTTACCATAATTGTCTGTGTGTTTGCCATTTGCTGGGCCCCATACTCTTTATTAATGATTGTTCGTGGGGCCTGCCAGGGAACTTGTGTCCATAACACCCTGTATGAAGCAACTTTTTGGCTTTTATGGATCAATTCCTCTCTGAATCCATTTCTCTACCCTCTGTGTCATGTCAAATTTCGAATGGCTTTTCTGAAAATATTAAGTCCCAAAAAGTTTGCCACATTGAGATCAGGCTCTTTTTAGAAGGAAAAAAGGAAAAGGAAGGACCAAGAAGAGCTGGATGAGGGATGTAAATTGCCAGAGTTTGAAATTAGATTTAGTCTTTTCCAAGAGATTGGTCTAGTTGGAAAGTCTAAATAAGCCTTCTGTGTTCTCCTTCAGACAAATGAGCATGCCCAAAGTTTGTGTACTTTTCCCAGCTATTTCAATTGCCCACTTAAAGGCTCTGTCTGACTTTGCCTAGTAGTCTATCCACATTATTGTAATTCTGGTTGCTGAAGATACTATCTTCAGTTGCAGTACAACTTATATTTGTGTTTATGGGTGCTATTAGTTAAAAATACAATGAATTTGTGTATTTGCTGTAGTATTCTAAAGTTACTATCTTCTATATTCTATTTCTTTTGAACAATTTGTACTGCATTTGGAATTTAATTTTTCCCTATATCAAACATCCAGTTAAATGATGAGTTTTCTTGCCAGCAGGATTATTTCCTTTCACTAAAGGTTTTTGGCCATTTTTCAAAAACTCAGGTCTATGTGTTCCCTGCAGAAGAGCAATACTCTGTGTACTTGCTCAGATGCAGCAGTGGAGAATTTAGGTGCGTAAAGCATTTCTGTGAATGTCCAGCTATTTTTCAAGAAACAAGCCTTCTACAGCTGTAGTTTTGAGAGATCATAGGAAAGCATGGTATTTGTTCTTACTCCTTGAGGGATAAAATCCACTGCTGCTGGCTGAGGGAAGGTGTGGTGGTGCATCCCCACTCCCCCACGGGCCACACTGTGATCTGAAAAATGCTCATTAGGCCTCAGCTGAAGATGGGATACAACAGATTAAAATAACATAATGCAAAGAACGCATGAAAGAAATACATAATTAAAAAAACACAACAACAACTAAAAGGGAAGAATCTCAGTTTTGATATTTTTAAAGTTTTTTAAATACTAGGAAACACTGATGAATGGTCAGCCTTTTGGGAATAAACTTGCACGAGATTCAAGTGTGAAATGCTGAGGAAGAAGAGTCATCCTTACACCTGCAGGTGAAAACATGAATGTGAGTTCAGTGTCAGGAGAATGATGGTCAGTACTTATTTGCCTGTCTAATCACTAATTAGTTAAAAAAGCTGCATTATGACATATCCAACAAGATGTTGGTATCACCTCCAAACAGACTACGTGATTACTCAGCCCAGCCTAGTCTTGTTCCACTGTCACACTCAGCTGTTGAGGTGAAAAGTTATATCCTTCTAAAGACTTTGGCCTATTATAACTTCCTTTGAATATTTTTTCCCTTCCTGTTACATTTCTGTTTGACCTAGGAGAGGCTAAAATGTAATCTTATGAAACCTCTGGTGTAACTGAGTTTACAAAAGCATATTGGTTTTTCTATCTCCTCTCCAGCATTCTTTGAATACACTTCTTGACTGTTGTTTTGACTGAATGTCATCTTTTTAGTCAATGCTTTAACAGCACTGGCCATTATAGGATCTTGGCCAATGAGCTGGGCTTGTAATTACTGCTAAGAGTGAGCAGATATATATATCTCCAAAGCAGGTCAGAACACAAAACACAAGTGCCACTACACCCATCTGTTTTCCTTAAGTGCAATGTGCACCAGCCTTTTACCTTGCAAAGCTTTTGAAATGCAACTTGTAAAGTCAGTAATGATGAACATGTGCAAACAGATCCTTGTGTGACAGCTTTTAGAACAAAAGGCTCCTTAATGTTTATGAGACATGTTTTTGATAGTGTTAGCAATAGGGATTAAAATATGTCATTCTGGGGATTCAAATATCTTAAATATCTAATTCTGGTTAGGTTTTTAAAATTATATCTTTGAAATTTAGCCACTGATATGTGTAGATAAAGACACATAGTCTTATATCTATGATGTTATATTTTTTTGTTCTTCCTTGCTCATGTCTTATCATCTGGGCTCAGTGGTCTCAGAGGTCTTTTCTAACCTAGTTGATTCTGTGATTCTGTCTTTTGCTTGCTTCTCATCTCAGCCTGCTCTCTGCCACAGCTCCTTGGTACAGGCCAGAAAACCAGCTGGATCCTGGTATCAGCAGGGACTTATTTATAAGCTGCCTGAGGCCTTTTAAAGTCAGTGGCAGTGCCCTGTGCAAAGGCAAGGAAAAGCAAGTTGAGTTTAGTTGATACAAGATATGGAGCACAAGCCTAGGTCCTCTGAGGGCGATGAAACAACTAATGCTGCCTCTGTTTGGGCTGACTTGACATGTTAGAAGTTGTCAGAATAAATACTCTAACTGCACAGTGCTTCTTGGTGCAAACTTGGTTTTGGGGGCATAGGCAGACATTTCAGGAATATCTCTGACTCATTTCTGGTACCCTTTGCAACTGTACTGGGAAATAAGTTGTAAATATGGTTGTCTTGCCTCTGTCAGTTTTTGTGAGCTATTTTTAGTAGCATAGGGGAGTAAGATATAAGCTAGTGGGCAAGAAAAATTGAGTGGTTTAGGTGAGGGGCTAGATTACTCTTTTTATTCTTCTGATATAGAAGTTACTAGCAGCAGAGAAAGGCACGGGATCATAGAGTCACAGAATCATAGCATCAATGCTATGGTTTGGGTGGGAAGGGACCTTAAAGATTATCTAGTTCCAACCTCTGCCCTGGGCAAGGAAACCTCCCACTAGACTAGGTTGCTCAAAGCCCCATCCAGCTGGGCCTTGAACAATTCCAGGGATTCGGCATCCACAACTTCCCTGGGTAACCTGTGCCAGTGTCTCACCAGCCTCACAGTAAAGAATTTCTTCCCAATTCTTCAAAAGAAACCTACACTCTTTCAGTGTAAAGCCATTCTCCCTTGTCCTGTCACCACCTGCCCTTGTAAAAAAGCCCTCTCCAGCTCTCTGGCAGGCCTCTTCTCTCTGCTTCTTCAGGCTGAACAACCCCAGCTCTTCCAGCCTGTCCTCACAGGGAAGGTGCTCCAGCCCTTGGATCATCTTTGTATCCCTCTTCTGGACCTGCTCCAGCAGGTCAGTGTCCTTTTTAGGTTGGGGATCCCAGAGCTGGACGCAGTAGTCCACGTGGAGTCTCACAAGATCTCTGTCCATTGTCCTCCTTATCCTTCAACCAAGCTGCAGAAATATTGGGAACTGTCAGGGGGAAGTTTTAGACCAAGAAGATTCTTATGGACTGTGAATCCCTATGGAAGTTGCACAAATAAGCTTCATTACTGACCTAAGTGTCGATGACATGAAATTTTTCCTACGCACTGTCTGAACTCACAGTCAGTGCAGGTCCTGCAGGCCATGGCATGGGATCTGTGCTAATTAAAGGCATTGGTAAGGCTACTGGTTAGAGAGAAAATCTGATACTGCTGTCACAGGCAAATTCCACTTCTCCCTTGGATTGACAGAACCATCTGGATTTTTTTACATTTGCATTATTTCATGAGAGTGACCAGACAACTTCCTGCCTTTATATATCTCTATATAAAAGGTGTTGTTTCAAAGTACCAGAAATAGCTAAAAATTGCTATGGAAATGTGTAAAGAAAAAGTTTTAATAAACAAAATTCAGATTTGCATCTAAAACCAAAAGCTAGAATTGAATAAAAGACAGTGCAATGCTTTTTCGGAGGAATTTGTCTGGATCTTGGAAAGTTGTTTTTTTTAGTTTCATTACTGAACAACAGCTTAGTCCTTCACAAAAAATCTTGTTTGGGCTCTAACCAAAATTCTGATGCAGGATCTGTTGCTGAGCAAATCTTAGTTAAGACCAGTTAAGTCTTACTGCTATTTGTGAGAGTGCCTTGTGGGCACCCAGTATGACTTGACTGCCATGACTGACCTCCCCTGGAGCTCCACATCTGACGTCAGCCTTGGGCCCAGGAACATGGTTTATCTGGGGTGGTCCTGGACTGAGCTACCTGAGTGCCTGTAGGCTGCTCTGAGCTCCATCTTTTGCATTTTTTTGAGGTTTTGACTGGACTTTTGAGTTTGGCCTCAGAAGCAGACTGTTTCCATTCTTACATCACTGGCAATTACTAGGAATTGCCCTCTCAAGGCTTTTCCTCTCTAGCCCTTTTTCAGGATCTGGCTACTGTACTTCAAGCTGGATTGAACTTTCCTGCCTTTAAATGTTTGTGCATTGCTCTGATCTTCACTTGTGTGCATACTTGCTCTCTCATTTTCTCTCCTTGCTAAACAATTCTGCCCAAAATTTTTATCTTACATATTGCTAAGAATTCTCCCTTATCACTCTGTCTTTAAAGAAGAGCGTTTGCTAGACCTATTGGTTGCAACAAGACTCAGTATAACCAGCAGTGACTGGTCACTGATATGCTTTCTCTTGATCTGTGGAAACCTTTAAAAATCAGCTTCTCTTTTTCTCCGTTTTCTGTAGGACAAGGTACAATATTTTTGTTTGTTCTCTTCACGCCAGTGTTTCTTTGCCACCCTACCTAGGCCATTTTATTTCTCACTCCTACGGATGAGGGCAGTCACACTGCTGTGTAGGTGTCTTGTAAAGCAGCCCGCCAGCTTTTCCCAATCATTGCCAACAAAATCAGTGTGATTTAGAGGAGGAGTCTGACTTAACCCCGTGAGACAACAGTTGAGAGAGCCTGTTCATCCCCTGGTAGACTTGTGAAGGCAGGTGCTGTGAGTGCATCTGCTGGTTTTCCTTGTGATAGCTTCTCAGAGAAGCCTCATTTTGGCATTTTTCCCCTCTTGCTAGTCAAGCCAGCAAGTTCCTGCAGATGTCACTAGTGCTACATGGTATTTCTAAACCTTGCAAATCCAGGGGTTTTTCAAGAGATGTCATTTATATGTACAATCCTGCACGGTCTGACACCAGCACCTTTCTGCTAAAACCACCACCAGATCTGCTGTATTACATCTAATATTTACTCTGCTGCAAAAAAAGATTAGGGAAAGAGTTTATTACACTGGCAAAGAAAGAAAGACTTTGATCACACAGATAATCATAAATCAGTGCACAACTTCTTCCTAAGTTGTCCTGCATAGAAATTGTCTTGTGCTCAGAATTTGAAGCAGAGCCTTATATCACCCATGGAAAAGGGGAGAGAGTCATAGCAAGCTGA